GGGGGGGGGGGGGGGGGGGGGGGGGGGGGGGGGGGGGGGGGGGGGGGCGGATGGCCTTGCCCGTGGTTGCAAGGTTGCTACCTGCCAAGACTATACCCCGAACGAAAATTGTGGCGTACCACCTTGGCTACTACCTCACGAGAATTCCGAGAACGCCCGAAGTCAACCTCGACTCACCGTGTTAACAACCGTTGGATGTATCGGGCGCGAACAGTTTTCATAGCCCATGCCTGTGAAGAGGGCTGAACTTGTATCTACTGCACCTCGGGCGGCTGTCGACTGTCGTGTGACTTCCGCTTGTTGGGATAATTCTTAGGCTGTCGGATTGCCGCTTCAATGGCAAAACCTAACATCTCAAACCCCGACTGTGGTCGTTTTGACAAACAAGGTGCCCCTGCCATTCTACCATCGGACATTGTCGCAGTATTTATGTTTGTATACGCACCCCCTCAGTTTTCATGATTTCCACTTGCTGGCGGATTAGGTTGTTCTTCGGCTCTGTTAGGATCTTGCACAGGTCGTCCTCGCTCAGGCCCTTCAGCTGGACGCGGATAGGAAGCCGCCCCTGCCACAAGAATAAACCCACACAGCAGCAGAGACGAACGGATCAAGTTGCGTGCGCAGCATCGACACACACCCTTTGCGGACAATAACATCACCAACAGACACGACGAGCATCGTGACACACGGTCTACGGCAGCACCTCAGGGAAGCCAAGAATATATGAAAAAATATCTAAGGGCCCAGAGATACCGCAATGCCGCACTGACCCTAGCTGGAACTGGTCATATCGCGCTCGCTCTTGGTCGTGGGAATAAAGACAGGCGCACACGCGTCCAACCAACGGACATCCGTCGTGTCGGCGAAACGCTAACAGCTGGCGTAACTGCTGTGTCGCCCGTACATATGTACCTGCAGCTCGGCCAGCATATCGCTAGGCTTGCACGAGTGGAAGGCCCCCGAGGCGATGAAGAGGATGAAGCTCGTGTCAATGTTGCCGTGTCTCGTCGACACGCTCGACCCCTCGATCATGGGTAGCAGGTCGCGCTGCACCCCCTCCGCGCTCGCGTCCGCGGATCGCCGCTCGCCCGCGTTGCAAATCTGGATGTCAATTGTTGGGGGGAAATATATGTGTAGCATGAGGGATGTATTTCCAAGCGTTGCAGGGGACTCTTTGTAGGGGGTTGGCGCTCGCCCGCGTTGCGGAATGTGTTTCCAAGCACTTCAGGGGAGTCTGTGAGGCCGGTCGCCCCGGTGGTTGACATGAGCAAAACCCCCCAGGCACGCATACTCTATTCTTCCCGACGCTATCCCCAATGTGATTCCGTGCGCGTACTGATGTCGGTGGGCACGAGCAGTTGATGGCTGAAAACATCCTCGAAACAACAAAAAAGCGTCGGCAAGCAAGGCAAGAAGGAAGGCGTCGACGAGTTGATTCTCCTGTGTGGAATTCTTCCCTTGCGCCCCGACCTGCGCATCTAATACAACGAGCCGTGAATTCTGGCGTCCGGAACACGAACATTGGACAGCAGCACACACATACATAACCAGGGTGACGTAAGGTACGACACCCCCAGGACCGATGTTCAACGCAGAACGAGCGGTCGAAGATGGCGGTTTGGAGACCGTCGTCGGGGACTTTCCGACAACGTCTCGTACGGTCAATGCGTCCTCGTTGTCGATGAGCACTCGAGCTACAAAAAAAAGTCGATCCAGGGGGGGGGTGGTATCTGATGTCACCTACGGAATCTGTTGCCCGTTGCAAGGCTACGGAGCCTTCCCCACCAAGTCTTGAAGAAATCAACCACACGAATTGCAAGGAAACGAGATGCAAGGTACAACAAACCTTGTCGATTTCGTCGATGAAGACGATTCCCGTCTCTTCCACGGCCTTCATAGCGTCTCTCGTCACCTGCGCCATGTCCAACCGTTTCTCGATCTCCATGTCTTCGATCAGCGGCCGCGCGTCTTTAATCTGCGACACCATGAGCAAGGGTTGAAAGGCACTCAATACTACGTGCACCGTCAAATCAGAATCAGAGCCAACTCAGGCTTACACGCGAGGGCAGGCCCGAAGAACGAACACAACACGCGTGCACAATCAGAATCGCAGCCGACCACTCTGTGACTTCCGCCAGGGGCCGCGTGTGCAAGCTCTAGCTAGAACATTTTCCGATAAACCTTGAAAAATAGAGCTCAGCAAGGAACAAGACATGCAAGCGACCATTATTAATGAGTACATCGACCCTACCCCAAGCGCATGCAACGACCAACATCAAAGGAACATGTGGTTCTTTCTACACACTGCATTGGCCAGCGGGCAACTGAAGCGGCATCTCCACCACCTTCACAAAGAAGAAAATCCAATAATACTGCCCTGCCAAAGGGCCCTGTACGTACGACAAGATCAAACGCAGCAAGCAACACATCATGATCAACACCGGCAAGGGTCGAAAGGATATATCCCTACCTTCATCTCTTGCTCTTGCTTGCGGTTCTTGCCCCCCGTGCTCGCCTTCAGCACCTGCATTCCGCAAAAACAAAAAAAACGAGGCAGCGACAACAAGAACCAACACTTGAGAACAGATGTGGACTTTTCATCAGGCAAAGAGAAACGCTAGTCGTTTCACGACGCGAATATCTGTTGAGAGTTAATCTACGTATTTTTTTCCTTGCACCCCAAACATAAACGCACAAGAACACGGTGTAGGAATTGTGTACATATGCTCTCTCTCTCTCTCTTTCTCTCTCTCCCTCCCTCCCTTCTGTCGGGGAAGGCCCATCAAATGGTACCACCCACGACGCAAACAGAGTGTAGCGTCAACTCAACGAACGCGTCACACGCTGGTACACTCCACACTGACGCGCACGGAGTGTGATAAATAATTCATCACCGCCAGAGCCAAAAGCCACTGCTCTAAGCTGAAGCAACAATACCGGAAATGTTTTCTGCATGAGCATCATTGCGCACTCACTTACCTGCATGATGTCCTCGACCTTGGGCATGTTGGCCCGGCTGTTGTCGGAGAAGATTACTCCCGGCATGTCGGGGGTATTGTTGCGATTCAAGGGTACCTGAGTTTCCCAAAAAACAGCACGCGATGCAGAACCGTTGGGACAAAACAAGACAAAAAACAGAAGATTTGTCTCGAAAATCGTGGCGTACGGTGTAACTGACGATGGTGCGCCATGAAACGCGTCGTAATGACGCACACTGGCGTTTCAGCAGGGATGGTGGGACGGCCCTTTATGGCCACCAACCAACGGTGATCTTGGCAGAAGCCAGCTCGTAACAAGCAAAGCGAAGCTCCGGTTGTTGCCAAACTCAGCAGAGACGTGCAAGGAGAGATTTCACAACCATCCTGCCTCTGGGCATGCTTTTCGTCCGGCAGAAGTCCCCAAGACGCCCGCGGCAAGGGGTTCACCATACTACGTTTAGCACTGCTATGTCAGGTGGTAAAACTTCTTCATGTTCCTGGCACATTCTCCAAAATGGTAAGGCTGTATCCATATTGCCTTCACTCGAAGGTGACGGGCATTGGTTGGGAATCGCACGTGTTCCTACTGGGGAAATAAAACATAGCTACCGGGGCAACTCAAGAGCGTAGACAGATTTATCGTGAGTCGTGAGCAACAACAACAACCGCGATGGGATGTGGGCAGGCAGGCACAAAGGCTGCACGACTCGGCACCAAACATACCACGTCGGTGGCGACAACGCTAACACCCACAACAGCAGAAAAACGCAATCACCATCAACAGCGACAATGGCAAGAACACCATACAGCACCAGACATCCAAAGCATAAACAACAATCAGTACGAGACCTTGATGTTATATTCCTCTAACGCCCCCTTCTTGAGCAGGTCTTCGAAGCTTTCCCGGCTGCTTGCACCGCTCTTCTCTCCAACCAGACAGTCGATAATGATCGAGTCAGTCCTGAAACACCAAAAAGTAACCCAACAGTAAGTGAGTGAAGCCGCACACAGAAGTAGTTTGAGCCTATCCACATGGGCAACGAGAGGGAACGTAAGGCGATCGATTACGAATTAGCACGTCCTGGAACACCCCATAGCACAGGTACACAACTCAAAAGTAGGGGTTGCCGCACACCCAAAACATTTTGAGCCTATCCAAATGTGCGGTACGGACGAGCGTAACGCGATCGATCAACTTTGATTTGAGGACGTCCGGCCGTGGGCGACACGTCATCAACAGCAACACGAAAACGCTTGGCCGACTCCAAAGCAATCGATGCACTCCACGAAGATTGACGCAATGAGGGCAAACCCCAACGGATCCCGCTGTCTGTTAGTAGTGTCAAACGGAAGAACCCCTTAAGTTGAATACTAAATACTGCCGTCGGCATCCAAGCAATTGAAATACAGCCACTTCGGTGATGTATCGATGGCTCAACTTACGTTCTTTTGACCGCTTCTCTATGTTCCGCCATCTGCTTCTTCTTGGTCATGGTGATCCCCACCTGCCAGAGACCGTGGTTAGAGTAGTCGTGCGAGAGGCAAGCGGCAGTGAAGGCCAGTCCTCTTGGCGAAATCCCTTCATACCGCATCTCCGTGAAACACGGTGTACCACCCGCCTAGCGTTATCAGCTTGAGTTCAGTGTGGTCAAATAGACCCATGCCCATCATGACGCAACGGGTAACGGGGGATGCGTGTAGCTTCGAACGAGATGTCCCCAAACAGCAACAACAACAGTAACAAAAACCATGCTACTCTGCAAGGGCGTGAGAGCGAGAGTGGGACACACATGATTAGGTCCTCCCTTGCCCGCGCATGGCGGGTTTTTCGACTTCCCCCGTACAGGGGCGACTGATCACACATATACATAACTGACTTTTCGAGGGTCGATTCCTAAATAACGATGAAAGAATGGAACAATACGAAAAACGCCCCGGGCAAAGCTCTCGACGAGATATTGCCAACGAAACCCTATTCGGCATCAGCAGCTCTTGGTTGTGGGGCACTCGACCTGTAAAAGTCGGTGGAGAGAGGGGTGCTGTCACTCGCATTTGGCACGTTGATGCCATGTTCTACGTTCAGGTCATGATGTACGTTTACAGCCATGTTCTACGTTCATGCCACCTCACCTCCACGAGGTCCTTGATGATCCGGTCAACGTCTTGACCGTGGAACCCGACCTCAGTGAACTTGGTTGCCTCCACCTACGGCACCAAAATAACGCAAAGACAGCAATATATGAAGGAGGTGAAAACAATAACACGAGAAAAAAAAAAAAACGACGGTGCTGGCCTCCTCTTCCCGATATTGATAGGATAGATAGGCTAGGGAAAACTTTTAGCAATGTAGGAAGGAACGATTGGCCATCGGTGATCGTGCTTGTGGGAACAATGCTCCGTCCTCTCGAGGACGCGTGGTCAAACAATAGTTTGACCGCTAAGGCATGCAAAACAAATGAGTGACCCCCCCCCTCCCCCCCCATCCCCCCCGGTGTTTGCCATCGGGATTGGGTTTTCGTCGCTTGGCAACGACGTTGTAAAACAAGCCAATTCACTTCGTGAGCTCTCGCAACCAGGTCACCGTTTTTTTTTTTCACCTCCGTTTTCTTTTTGGCGGTAACCATAGTGGTGGTCGGGTAGATCATGTTGTGCGGGG